AAAGAACATTTTACCCAGTAAAGCAGTCAGGATTAGGAGTTGCTATAACCAGAGAGATGAACAGCTAGTTGAGACGTGAGACTGGGTACCAGGAAGGGAACCACACAGTGGTATCTAAAGTTGAGGTAACAATGTAGCACATGCAAAGACGTTATCAGAAAGAAAAAGAGAACAAACCTACTTGAAAAACAGTAGTTTCTTATATGAAGTTCTTGAGAGTGATCAAGAAACTTCTATCTTCCTACTCAGTCTTATTTTCAAGACAAACACAAAGGTTGTAAAAAAAAAAAAAAATTAGTGTACCAATTTTGTCCACAAAAACTTAATGAAACTCGACAAATACACAGCACGGACACTGGTTACCAGGAAAGGAGAAAGTGAGGTTAATGTGTCATCTGACTCAGCAGACACTTTCCCTTCTGCCTACTCAATTCTAGGCAGAAACTCCACATCGTGAGCCCTTTCTCTTAACTCCACAGCAGTCTTCACGCTTCAGATAGACGCTTGGAATATACTTCTAAATTTATACTTTTTATTTGTCCATATTTGTTTTACTATCTGCATGGCATGACAGAGATTTAGAAGTAGAAAGTAAAAGAAATAATTGATGAATTAACTGTAATCACATTGAGTCCTCTAACAATTGCTATGTCGCAAAATTTCAAATGAATGTAAACGTGTTGGGCTTAATTCCTAGAGTTAGTTACTTCAAGTACCAAAGAGACATTATTTTTTAAAAAGTCAACATCTGTTAATCATAAGGGTTTCCTATAAAAATGTTTGTTGCGTTATTTTCAGTACATTTCTATGTATTAATGTATATCAATATTCCTTTAAAGTAAAAAAAGACAATCATTTTAACATATTTTCATCTACCAGGTGGTCTTAGACATAAAACCTATGAGCAAAGATGCTCCAATATTCAGAGTAAACAAAAAACTGTTAAAAAGTAATTTTTCCCTAGAAAAACCTGAGGAAACATTAGAAATTAATGTAACTCATTAAATTTAATTTCTTTTCAAATAATCTTTTGCTTTGAAGAGTTCTAAATATTAGGAAACTTACCGCACCCACTTCCTTCAAAGCTGAAGTCACAGAAATAACAGATCTCATCTGTTGCTTTGATGGAGAGCCACCTGTTTCATGCTGTCCCAAAGGTGAAGAAACATCAGAACTCTTTACTCCTTTAGCCACCAACTAAAAGAAAAATAAATTAAATACATTGGGGATTTTATATTTGCATGAAGAAATAAAATGGTAGCTACAAGATCACTGTTTATTCACTCTATACACAAGCAGTTTTTTCATTCCTCAATTATTTATTGAGCAAGGCACTACACTAGGTGATGGGGACAGAGTAGTGAATAGAGAAAAAAACCCTCTGATCACAAATGTAAACATAATCATGTCATGTAATCCTAAATAACTTGCTTTCATTGCATCATCCATGCTTCATAAAATAATCATGAAAACCAAACTGTCTTTAAAAGATTCAATATCACTCTTCTCACTTTAATTTAAATCCATTATAATATTTGGTAGGAAGAAAACATATTTATTATTCTTACTCTTCTAATAGAAATGCTTCTGTAATTTCTCCAAGTTTGGGTACAATCTTCTTGAAGTTGGAGTATCAATCACCCAACACAAAAACTCTCATTATAAAAATGTCAACATAA